CAGCGCATTGTGCTACACTCGGGTTAGAGATGCATATTTAGCAAGCATTTCATACCGAAAATAGTAAATTTGATCATCCAAGAAATTAATATAGGTCTTTGCAGTCATCAAATGAGTTCATGTGTATAATAGATTCTAGAAACTTATTGCTTCAAATGAGAAATTGGTTTGGTTTCAAAACGCAGAAAGCAATTCCTTATAGCTAAATCTTACAGCCAAATCAAAATGACTAGTGCTACTACATCAAACATGAAACAAGTGAGCCAGCCTCACACACTTGGGTACAAGCTCCTACAGGGATTAAACTGAACAACAACTACAGATGAGAGACAACAATGCATGAATTTTCTGCCAACACATATGACCAATTCAAAATCAACCAACACCAGATAGCAAACTAAAATTCAAAGAACACCTACAAATTGTTTTAAAAAAAAAAATCCATTTTCCACATTTAAACCAGAGATAGAGAAAAAGAGAAAAATCAAATCAAATAGGCAATGCATGTTTTTCAATAGGTAGGTCCTCAACCTCATTACCAATTTTTTGATCTCTGTCATGTCATTCTTCAACATGAAAAATTGAAACCTTCCTTCCACACAAATTAATACGCACTTGAAGTGAAGAAACAAACTCACTAGCAACTTGTCATGTCATGCTTACATAACTCATTAAAATAGATTGCTTGGTCAAATAAGCTAATGTTTAAAATAAGTTGTTGAAACGATCATAAACTACAACATAAAAGTTAACGTGTTCAAATCTCTAACCTAAGCCATACAAACTAAGTAGTTGAATTTAAAATGTTCACAAGCCAAACACAAACAGAAAACACAACAATTCATACAATAAACACTAGAAAATATTGAAATGAGCAATCAACATAAGAATAAACGGTGAAAATACGTACATCAGAGGCGTCACTGATGAGCTTCTTCAATGGCGGCCGCAGAGAGGAAGAGGAAGCAGCAACCCCTCTGGCTCTGGAAAAATCGTCGTCGCATCTGCAAACAAGATATCCGGGTTGAAAATCGAGAACACAAGACGGATCTGGCCATTTTGGAATATATTGTCGGTGGAAATCGGCGATCCGTCGGGGTTGGAGCATGCGAAAGAGAAATCGTCTTCATCTTCTTTCTTCTTGCAATCACCATCAGCATCGGCGTTCTGAACACCTTCATCCGGCAATTGACACCTCAAATCTACAGAGTACCCACAGAACTCAGCGAGCTTAACCATTAGCTATGTTCATATCGAAAAAATAGAAATTAGCACGAAATTCAACGAAGAAACTGAAATCAAGTCGAAATTCAAGTTAATTAAGCAAAACTCAAAAGGGAAATAACGAATTGAAGCAGATGGAACAAACTTGCAAAAGAAATGGAGGCATCAACGACGAGAACACGTGTGAGGCCACCGACGTAACGGAGATTGTCGTCAGTCTTGTGTTGGTCCATGGCTCTGAGACTGTTTGGTTTACGTTGAAGGCAGAGAGAGGGAAGAAGGGAGAGAACAGAGGAGAGATGTGGGTTTGAAGGAGGAGAGGGGCTTGAGGCTTCAGACCTCAGAGAGTGGTTTTGTTTAATTTTAATGTTCTCTGCATTCTATAGATTCTAAACGAGATCCAAAACTAATTTAATGCTAAAAAGGGTAATAAAGGTTTTTGATCTTATTAATTAAATTAAAAAATATACAATTGTTGATTTTTGGGTTTATTTTGGGTGTGTTTATATATAATGAATGGTATAGGGTATATTTATAGTTTTATGTCTAGGAATGGGTATTTCACTAAATTTCTATTTTATTTATGATGTGGTGTATGGGCCCATACTTTCGAGTTTAAATGGACACAAAAACTACCCTTTCAATTTTGAATCTTTTTAGTTTTTTTTTTTTTATGGTTTACTTTCAAATAACACTACTATATATGTCAACTAGGTAAGATTGCTACATACATTGAGATGTGTTTCCTAAAGTAATAGGTCTTACTGGAAACCATTGGAATCCTAACACGAGGCTTTATACGCATTTAGTCTATTTGATTTGAGATTTAATTTGACTATAGAAGGATTTAAAAGAGTGCTAGTGTTATATGAAATCTTTTATGATATTATATATTTCTGAGACATCACGCGTGTGTGCAATTCAAAATGAGAGCAGAGCTTGCTAAGAATGCTGATGATGATCATAGCGAAATTATTATCTTCATTGTGCATATGATGATAGGGAAGATACAATAAACATGTGAATTTTTTCTAGTCAACAATTCCAGCCTTCCGGTAGCTTTCAATGGAATCAATGAGAGTTTCCTCCACAGGCCGGAAAGTCCAACCCAACCTCTGCAATTTTTCCGAACTGAGGTACTCTTTTTCTTCCTCTGTGTGGGTAAGACTGGCAATACAAAGGCAAGGCATCTCAGTAAACATCAACATGGATGGTTAAGGCGCACAAACTGAGAGGTGAAGAAAAATATTGGAGGGTTAGAAAAACTTACATCTTGGGATAGCTGTAGTTAGGATATGCAGGCCTCAAGTACTTCTCCACCACCTCCTCTGTACCGATAGCGTGCGATGTGCATAAATATCTCTCTCCGGCCTCAGACTTGTTGTATGCAAGAAGCTGTGCTTCAGCCAAATCACGAACATCCACGAACGTCCAGTAATTGTATCCCAATGACTCAACCCCACCTGCAGACTCACAGTATCAGACTAAGCTTGTTTATTTATATAAATTTGAAACAAACAAGTATGATATGATATGATATAGAGCTAAGTAGATAGAGATACCTTTTACAGTCCCAACTAGCAGAAGGCTACTGGAATTCAAATTGGATTGCAAAATTGGCCCCAAAATGACAGAAGGACAAACAGTTACAACCTCAAGTTCATTTCTTTTTCCAAACTCCAAAGCCTGTCTTTCTGCTTCTGTTTTTGAAAGATAGTACCATTTCTGGAACACAAAATTAATGGTCTGGCTTCAGCATAAAAGTAAAGTTCTTCATCCACCAAATGTAAGTCAAAATGGACAATTACCTTGGTCGTTTTAATATATTCAGGAACAGACCAACAGGTTTCGTCCTTGACTTGACCCTTAGGCCAGTCAGGGTTCATAACAATAGCAGCTATGGAGGACACAACAACAACTCTCTTCACTTTGGCTTCGACGCAAGCCTTAAGTACATTAAGCGTTCCCGTTACAGCTGGTTCAAGAAACTCCTGCAAGGAGCAGGACAGATTGAATTATCATAGTAAATATAAACAGCATAACCTGTATTTTGAGGTCTAAATACATATGACAATGGATTTATATTTTAAGAAAATTAATTAATTAATTAAATATAATAGTCTTGCCTCAGGATCTGCAACACTATGAGCAGCTGGTACAGGACTGGCAACATGGAAGACTCCAGTGCATCCTTCAACAGCCGCACGCAGAGAGTCGTAGTCCAACAAATCTGCCTTGAACAGTTTCAAGTTCTCTGATGCTTTCTCAAGCTTGTTCAAGTGAGCATACTTGCTGTCCCCTGCACATCAATACTCATCTTTTATAAATTATATATATATATATATATATATAAACCCACTAA